CGTGGGGCCTGAACTCTGGGCCTGGGCGCTGTCCCTCAGCTCTTCAGCTCAAGGCTAGCACTCTACCACTTGAGCCACAGCTTTTTTCTTTTAGCTTATGTGGTGCTGAGGAATTGAACCCAGGGCCCCATGCATGCAAGGCAAGCGCTCTACCACTGAGCCACCTTCCCATCTCCCGACATAGAGGTTTTCTTGGGAGGATTTAATAAACAAAAGGGATAATACCCCAAAGACGGGGGCATCAGCATAAACCCCCAAACAGCATGCAAGCAGCTATGGGTAGCAGGCCTGCCCCGTCTGTCTCAAATGCACACAGTGAGCACTCTCATGCAAGTTTTAACAGGAAGTCATTAGCTCAGCTCTGGGAAGATAGACATTTGGCCACAGGGGAAAATTTGGGTGCGATGACATCCTTTACACGTCAGCGTTTATATTATACATTTTCCAAAACCCGAACTGCATCTTCTAAACCTTGCAACCCCTCCCCCCTCCCCCCCGCGTCTTATTCCTTCCTTTTAAGATGTGATGTTTTATGACTTGTCAGGTGAGGAAATCACATCTGAAGACGGTTGTCATTCTCCGAGTGTGTGATGAACTTGTAGTTCACTACACCTGATACGTCTGATCAGTTGTTGACAGTTCCTCTGGCGCGTGACTTTTATACTTTGGAAGCTACCTGAACAACCATTTGCCCCTAATGAGATAATCTAGTTGAGAGAACTAGAACTCCAAAGTTCATTACTTTAGAGCAGAAAGTTGTATAATCTACATGAATGCATTCCAGTGACCAAAGCCTAGGGAATACTACCACTAGGAATTGTTGATCTTAGTAACATGAATGTTTTCACTGCGTCTATCCTGTACATTGTAGGATGTGCAGCTGCATCCTGGGGCATCTGGATGGTATAAAACCATCGTAAAGCTGGACACCTGTGCCTCATGCCTGTAATCCTAGCTACTCAGGAGGCTGAAATGCCAAGATCAAGCTTCAAAGCCAGCCCAAGCAGGAAAGTCCATGAGACTCTTCATTTAATCACCTAAAAGACTGGAAAATGGAGCTGTGGCTCAGGTGGTAGAGCACCAGCCTTGAACAGAAAATTTTGCTCAGGGACAGTATCCAGGCTCTTGAGTTTAAGCTCCAGGATTCCCCCTACCCCACCAACCATAAGTTGAGACTCACTAGTTCAAAAGAAAATTGAGGAGTCTTCAAGACCCATCTACAAATGACTACCATAGTTATTTTAAGTGTAACTGGATGTGTTTCCTTCCTTCTTTCTATTTTGTTTTTGTTTCTTCCTTTGTTCTTTTGTTAAAAATACATTGAGCCGGGTGCTGGTGGCTCACACCTGGAATCCTAGCTGCTCAGGAGGCTGAGGACTGAGGATTATGATTCAAAGCCAGCCCAGGCAGAAAAGTCCCCATCAGACTCTTATCTCCAATAAACTACTCAAAAAAGCTGCAAGTGGTGCTGTGGCTCAAGTGGTAGAGCACTAACCTTGAGCACAAAGAGACTCAGGGACAGTGCCTAGGCACTGAGTTCAAGTCCCAGTACCAGCAAAAACATAATAATAAAATAAAAATATATATTGACGCCAGACATGGTAATGCGTTGCCTGTCATCCCAGCTAAAGTGGAAAAATCACCAGTCCAAGACCAGCCCAAGGAAAAGCATGAGACCCTATCTGAAAAACAAACTAAAAGCAAAAGAACTGGTGTTGTGGAGCAATGTAGAGCAGTTGCCGAGCAAGGTTGAGGCCCTGTGTTCAATCCCAAGTATCATCAAAATGTAAGAAATTAATACATATATGTGCTTTACATATACATTTGTTTTATTCCCATATGTCTTGCAATATGTTCAGTAAATGTAACCTTTTAACATTACAAAAGGTAGGCCGATCCTCAGTTTTGCTTCAGGTAATAACAGGGGGTCACCTTAGGTGAGTCATTGTTTGATGTACTTTAGCTGAGACTCTCCTGAATTTACTCATTTCCAGCTAAATGATTAACCTCTAATACAAGTACAACTACAAAGCCAAACTCCTGTGACTGTGACATCTTTACTATTCTTCCTTTTTTTTTTTTTTGGTCAGTCATCACCAGGCTTGAATTCAGGGTCTGGGCTCTATCTTTAAACTCTTTTGCTCAAGGCTAGTGTTCTACCAGTTTGAGCCACAGCAGTTTTCTGGTGGTTAAGAGATCTATCTCACAGGCTGGTTTTGAACCGCCTTCCTCAGCTCTCAGCCTCCTAAGTAGCTAGGATTATAGGCATGAGCCACCAGCGCCTAGCTGTCTTTATTATTCTTGCTTAGTGGTTAACTTGGATAACTTGTACTTTCAATCTGGCAGGAGTTAATCTGGATCTTTTCTATCCAGAGCTTTCCCTGGGTCTTTTTTGACACCTCCCCCATCCCCACCGCAGGTGGTTCCCCTGCCCTGGGGCAGGTACCAGATGCTCAGCATTCTCCTACCTGTTCAGACCCATTCCTTTTGCCTGGCTACTCCAGACAGGTGGGAGCTTGCTCGGGTGCATCTTCTATGGGGCAATGCCTGTGCCTCACCCTTTCTTCTCATCTGTGACCTCCAGGGTACAGGACAGTGAACAGATTTCCTACCTACAGGGTTTATCATGAAACCACCCCCGAAATCAACAGAGTCTGAAACTCAGAATTGGTGTTTTGAGTGACACAGCTATGTCAACAGATTGACTCAGAAGTTTCCGTCAGTGGAAAGACAGATGTGGGGTTCAGCTAGATTGTTTCTGAATTTCTTTCTGCTGTTAAGTGGCTGTTCTTGACTGGATAAAAATGAGAGATGGAGATGGAGAGTCCTTCATAGCAATACATCTAGCTTTACCATTTAGTAAATATGTGTTCTGAGCCAAGCTCTGGATTAAACACTGTACAGTCTCACTGAATTTTTTTTTCATTTTCCAAGAGTGTGCTTTATTCACTTTTTTAATTGTGAAAATACCATACAGAAGGGTTACAATCACATGGGCAAGGTAATGAGTACATTTCTTTTTTTTTTTTTTTTTTTTTTGGGTCGTGGGCCTGAACTCTGGGCCTGGGCACTGTCCCTCAGCTTTTCAGCTCAAGGCTAGTGCTGTACCACTTGAGCCACAGTGCCACTTCCGGCTTCTTTTTTTTCTGGCTTATGTGGTGCTGAGGAATCGAACCCAGGGCCTCATGCATGCAAGGCAAGTGCTCTACCACTGAGCCACCTTCCCAGCCTTTCTTATCAAGCATTGTTGCCTCCTCCTTTGTTTCTTCTTCCCATCCCTTCCCATCCCCCGCCCCTCCTGCCAAATTTGTAAAGTTTGTTTTTGGACATAATGTCTTGTACATCTCACTGTTGCAATGGGTCCACCTGTATCCCTATTTATAAACAATTTGCTTTTTCCCTTCCCCTCCACAAATTATACCAACATCAAATACAGTGAAAACAAGGGTTATACCGTGGGGGAGGGACATACAAAGCAACAAAGAAATCATCTTATAAATATTTTAGAAACAATTGCAAGAAAGAAAAAACATTCGAATCCTTATCTTGGGGTTCATTTCGCCTAATATCAACTTATCTGACCTTTTCTGCTTGTCTCCGACATATACTAGTTATTGCAAATAAAGGAAACCATGGGACCTATGTTTCT